TGAGAACCCGGGACTGAGACAGGGTCCGGAAGATAAGATTCTTATGATCAGTGTAGATGAAGATTTTGCCACCGTAGAGCATATTTCAATACTATTTGAGGCATAGGATGATAGCTAAGAGCTCTTTTTCCATTGTGGTGTAGTTCATTTGGGTCTTGTTGAGCTTCTTAGACCAATATGCAATTGGTTTGTTATTCTGTAGGATTGCAGCTCCGAGCTGGTAATCAGAAGCGTCGGTGAAAATGTGAAAGGGCTTATTCAGATCGGCAAAGGTGTTGATTGCATCATGTGCAAGAAGTGCTTTCATCTCTTGAAAGGCTTGATTGCATGCAGGAGTCCACGCATAGGGTCCTGAGCCAGTGAGTGCAGTTAGTGGGGCCAATACATGTGATCGGCGAGGCCACATGGACTTGTAATAATTGACTGCACCCAGGAAAGACCAGACCTGTGATTGATTCCGGGGAATTCCCATCTTGAGAATCCCATCAACTTTCTTTTGCCAAGGCTTGACTCCTGTKGGTGTGAGCCAAAAGCCAAGGAAGTCAGACTCCTTCACTGCCCACTCACACTTGAGAGGGTTGCACTTCATCCCATTGGAAGCCAATCTTTCCAGGACTGGGTCAACCAATGAGAGGTGTTTGTTGAATGGTCCTCGGGACCAAATCCCCATGCCATCAATATATACTTCAACATCTAGACTAGATAGGATCTTTGTGATGAAGGCCTGTGCATAGTCGGGCGATGATTTCAATCCCATAGGCAATCGTAGGCATCTGTAGTTGCCGTGTGTGGTAGTGAGAGTGCATATTTTCTGGCTCTCCTCATCTAGCTCAAAGCAATAGAACATCATGGATAGATCAATCTTAGTGAAGTGATCATATCGTGTTCTCCGGTTCAGGATGTCTTGGATTTTGGGGAGATTAAACTTAGGTCTTTTAATCCTCTTGTTTAATTCTCGTAGATCAACAAGCCAACGGACTCTGCCGTCCTTTTTAGGAATGATAAAGGCTGGAAAGCCCCATTCCGAGTTGCCAGTGGGTGCGATAACCCCTTCATTGACCAAATGCTGGCATTCCCTTTGAAAAACATCTTTGTGTCTGTAGGGGACTGGATACGGATTTATGTAAACTGGTTCTGCATTATCCTGTAGATCAATGTGGATCTTTTCATGCAGATATCGACCCAGTTTGCCATCAAACAACTCTGTGTGTTTGGCTAACATCTCTTGGAATGCTAGTCTTTCTGAACTGTTCATGTGCTCTTGCTGGTCTGCAACCTGCTTTGGAGTCACCTTCTGGTACTGTGCGTCCAGGATTCTGTTGGGTTCTGTTTCTACAGGAGCCCTGGCAGCATCTGCTGCTAAATAACTGTCCAAACCAATTGCACATCTGCAACTTTGAGGTCGGCAGCTTGGGAGTAGGTGAAACTCTATGAATCCGCCATCTAAGAGTTCATCATCCTCTGCAATCCACATGGCCTCTGCCACGTTCTGGGGATTGTTGAAATGATCTGTTGGTTTCATATCAATGGTTGATCCTAACCATCTGATGGTGTTCGTGGAATAGAGAAGATCTATCCCTGTCATTAGTAGAAAGTCCCTTCCTAGAATCATGTCGTATTTGCAGGGGGCTGAAAAGAGCCTTGCATTGATTCCTCTGGTATATTTGCCGTTGCCAAACTCTGGGAGTCTAATGTTGGATATGAAGACATACTTGGATGTGTCAAAGCTTTTCTGAGCTGTTGTGGTGACTGAGCTGAATCGGTCCTGGAAAGGGACTGTTCCTGATGGAAGGCAATGCTCGTGAATAAGGCACATTGTACTTCCACTATCTAATAGAACTTTGAAGGTGTTCATTGTCGGTAGGCCTTGGATGGCTTTGCATACTAGGATGACTGTCGGTAGCACGTCCTGCACATCCTGTGGTGTTTTCAGAGCTCGTAAAGTCGTTGCAGTTGGATTCCTGAGAGCCTCATCATTATCAAGGCCATAAAAGTCAAGGCTATCTGCTGGTGATTGAGTGTTTGGTGTTGGAGGCAATGTATAGAAAGCCTCTTGCGGATGTCACCACTGTTGATTTGGTCCTTGTCCCTGGAATTGAACCGTAGAGCCTGAATTGCTGTTGGATTGTAGTGATACGTGGCTTGGAGGGCCACTGGAATTAGAGCCATGATAGTTCTGAGTTTGGATTGATTGTGGTTGAAAATTGCTCATGTTCCCATGCTCATCCATTGAGCATAGATAGGTTCCCGGTGTGAACCTTTTGCTGCTGTTGCTTGTATTTGAATTTCCCTGGCCTCTTTGGTAATTTCCTTGGTTGCTCTGATTTCCTCTGTTGTTATTGCTCCAATTGTAACCCTTTTTATTGAACCGACACTCGCCCCAAAGATGTTGTCCCTTATGTATTCTACAAGGTGTTGCATTGATTCTCTTCTGTCTCTCCTCCGGGGTCTCATTCTGTCTGTTTGCACTGTTGTTTCTATCACTGTTGTTATTACCTCTTCTCCTTTGTTTTCCATTATTCCTTCCTTGGTGTCTCGTATTAATATCTGCAGTATCATCTGCTGGTCTTTTCCTCGAATGTTGCTGTTGTTCTTCATCTGCTATTCCTTTTTGTTCAGACATGAACTCCACAACATCTTCAATCGTGTCCCTCAAGATATTTCTC